CTCTCTCTCTCTCTCTCTCTCTCTCTCTCTCGTCCTTTCCCTGAAAAGCAATGGCAAAAATATCCTCAGGTGAGGATTAAAAAAAATATTTACTATGTTAGCTTTTCTGCACCAACAGAAATGCTATCCTTTTATTGATGTAAATGTTCCCCTTTCCTATTTCATAAATACTTGCCTTTGTCTTCTAATTGAAACATTATTTGGGTTTCTGCCTGAGTCAGTGATTCCCCCAAAAGCTATTGTTTTCTATTTCAAATAAATGCTTGTTGACTCTTACTTGAAAAGACCTTTTATTTTTAGGTTAACAATTAGAACAACCTGGTGTGGTCACTGCTGGGTTCATTGCACACACAGTAGCCCCCTCTCCCCTGGCAAACTTCTTATATTTACCCAGAAATGAGGGATTAAGTATGAACCCAACCTTCAATTTTAACTCGCCAGACAGGAATAAGTTACTGATCCAAGCAGTTCCTGAAGGTAAACACAAAGATCTGTGAACTGGTAAACCTAAAGGCACTGCCCATGACAAGGTGCAACTTTGTGGGGGAGTTCATCCTCACCCAAGGATATTTTCCCATTGATTCTTAGAGATAGTGGAAGAGAAGGAGGGAGTGGGGGAGAGAAAGAGATACAGAGAGAGACAGAAAGATACATCGATAGGTTGCCTCCTGCACTCAACCCGGCTGGGACCAGGAATCGGACCCACAACCCTGCAGTGCACAGGCCAATGCTCTAACCACTGAGCAACACAGGCCAGGGAGAAAGACCGTCCTATTAAAGGGAGACTTAATGTATAATAGAAGTAGAATCAGAGAGCTGAAAGTTCTCAGGACTTATTTCAACCAGTGAAGAAAATCAAGGTGACTGGGTCATTTTATGACAGTTGGGTCTTTTTTTAAATTTTAATCCTTACCTGAGGATATGTTTATTGATTTTCAGAGAGAGAGGAAGGGAGAGGGGGACAGAGAGAGAAAGAGAGAGATAAACATAGATGTGAGAGAGAAACATCTATCAGTTGCCTCCTACACACTCTCCAACCGAGGATGTGCCTTGACTGGGAATGGAACCAGCAACCTTTTGGTGTGCAGGATGACACTCTCACCAACTGAGCCACCCAGTTGGGTCTTCATTAGGAATCCTGATGGCTTACCTTCATCATAAGATACTGAATATACATGTGTGTATGTGAGTGTATGTATCTCCAGGCTCAGCACTTGAGCAAGTCGCTTGAAATTACAGAAATTGTCATTACTGCTAATCTTGGTATAGCGAAGAAATTGTTTATATCCCATCTTTTATTTCAACACTTATGTGAGCAGCTTTTCTCCTCAAATGTCAGCCAACTTCACTGTGGAAGAGTTTACTCACTGCTCATTTCTTCACTGTATTAGTTAGCACAGATTGAAATTCTTTAACAAAAATTTCTTTCTTTTTCCTGTAGCAGTCCATGTTGGTTCCAGTCAGTGGGGCACCTCTCCTCCCCAAAATCACTTGGGAAGTCAGGGTTCTGTGTCTAGCTATATTCTCCCCTGGGGCCTTGTGTCCATTTGTATCCCATAGTGAAAGGGGAAGGAGAGCCTATGAGAGATGTTATCACTCCAGCTGGAAAGCAATATTTTGTGTTTGTTTCAGAAAAACCTGATTGGTTTATCAGAAAGTCATCTCTGATAGCTTCATGCCACTATCAAATAAAGTTACAGCACAATACCCTGGGTCCCAGGGCTAATAGATCACTGATGCAGCGAAAGTCAAGTTTAGGTAGCCATCTCTGTTCTTAGTGTGATTACATATTTGCATGTTCTAGCACAAGATTTCTATATTTTCATTCTTTTTATTTTTTTAAAATTATTTATTGATTGATTTAGAGAGAGAGGAAGGAAGAGAAAGGGGGAGGCGGGGGTGGGTGGCTGGAGGAGAGAGACAGAGTGAAACATTGATTTGCTGTTCCATTTATTTTTGCATTCACTGGTTGATTCTTGTATGTGCCCTGACCAGGGATCAAGCCCACAACCTTGGCCTATCCAGACTATGCTCTAACCAACTGAGCTACCCGCCCAGGGCCTTATTTTTCTTTTAAGCGTAAACGAACCACTTCTGATCAACTGATCTATATTTGTGAATTGCAACCCGATGACAGCAATAAAAATGACATTTTAACAAGCAAAAGCAGTAGCATGCAAATCATGTGGAAGTACATTAGCCAAGAGCACCAGCACCCAGTTAAGCAGCACTTATTGAGACAAATTGAATGAGAAGACAGTCTGAGAATATGACAACTCATCACAACGATCAAGAGACTGTCAACAGTTTGTAAGCAGCAGCATGGTAGGGCCTGCTAAATTGGCTGCCACACTTAGATTGGGCCCATCGGAGCCCAGAATAGACTCGGGCAGTT